TCCTTCTTGCCTTCACAAACACCGCGTAAAATCATTAATAACGCGTGCAAAATATCACCGATTTTCAATGCATCCTAATTACACTTTTCTTGGCGCACTAAACAAGTTTTGCCGTATGCCAAGGATTACTAGAGCCCACCCGGATTAAATAATTTCGTTGTCGATTTCTGTCTTCTGGGTTGTTGCGCCGTGTAGTATGATAGATTTTTGGTAAACATTGGTAAACGTTGGTAAGTATCTACCATAATACTACACGGCGCAACAACCCAGAAGACGGAAAACTTCATACTCATCGCCCTGATGATGGAGGCAGTATGACCTCTGAAACGTTGGTTGACATCGACCAGACTACACAGCGCAACAACTCAGAAGACAGAAATCTTCATACTCATCGCCCTGATGACGGAGGCAGTATGACCTCTGAAACGTTGGTTGACATCGACCAGACTACACAGCGCAACAACTCAGAAGACAGAAATCTTCATACTCATCGCCCTGATGACGGAGGCAGTATGACCTCTGAAACGTTGGTTGACATCGACCAGACTACACAGCGCAACAACTCAGAAGACAGAAATCTTCATACTCATCGCCCTGATGACGGAGGCAGTATGACCTCTGAAACGTTGGTTGACATCGACCAGACTACACAGCGCAACAACTCAGAAGACAGAAATCTTCATACTCATCGCCCTGATGACGGAGGCAGTATGACCTCTGAAACGTTGGTTGACATCGACCAGACTACACAGCGCAACAACTCAGAAGACAGAAATCTTCATACTCATCGCCCTGATGACGGAGGCAGTATGACCTCTGAAACGTTGGTTGACATCGACCAGACTACACAGCGCAACAACTCAGAAGACAGAAATCTTCATACAATTTCATTTCATTCCTTCTTTAGATTTCACATTAAAGAAGACAGAACATAAACCACCAGAGACAGTGATCGTGCTTTCAGGAAGTGTCAGAGGCCATTGTTCAGGCCCCATATTGCAGTCAATCTCTGTCATGAAGAACCTGTTGGCTGTCGTAGCAAGGAACGAAGCCCGGACAGATAAATGTAGCAACACCTGAGATGGAAACAGAGGATTTCTGTCATCACTACCACTGCGGTGGCTGGACCAAAAGATTCAGCATCAGAGCCCGTTCTTGGACACAGACCTGCCTTAGCCAATTTCATCCATCTTCGATATTCAGAACGTATTTCTCTAAGATCCGCCTTAACGTGATCCATCCTCGGTCTTTCAAGTGGAAGATAACCAAAATATTTCCGCAACAAATTATGTAAGCATTTCTTGTCTCCTCCAACCTAGCTACATTTCAAACCCATTGTTTGTACTGAAAACACTGGGTATCCTATATAAATCACTGTTTACTATGAAATTAAGACAATTAAAGGAATAGGCTGCAATTAGGAAATGCTTGTTATTTTTTATGTTCAAAAACTGTTTCCTGTTACGTTTAAAAAAAATATGAAGATCGAGATTAAAACAATTTTACCACGTGGTCTCAGTTGTGAAATCCGGGTGAGTTTAAACGTATTTTACGTATATTTTGTATGCAAAATGATAAGACATTACTTGAACATTAGAAAACGTAAGTGGGACATTTGTAATGACGAGGAATTTCGCGATTTTAAGGACCTGTAAAATGGCTGTCTTCGTGACAACCTGAAATCCTGTATAGGCTTTCGTTTTTAAAATGATCAAATCAAGGAGGCCAAAATGGACAGGACAAATAGCTCGGAGAAGAAATGCATAGCGCAGAAAGTTTTGGGAGGAGTCCCTTGAAAGTCCGAGGAAGATATGAGAGGATAAGATTACTTTTGAAGTGTCTGTCAGACTTAGAAGCCCTTGGCACGTTTTTTATATTAACTATGTTGTTCATTTGTCATCTATTTTATTTATTTAGTGTTCTGTCTGACGACAGGTCCTTATGAACAGGATCCTTCCATCCTTTTCTCTTCTCGGACTGGGACCTGTTCATATACGTTCTTGGCAGATGATCCAGAAGTGGTTTGCCATTGCCTTCTTCTGTGTGTGAATGGAGTAATTGTTGGGATTCCACGGAGAAACCGGGGAAGCCCCCGGAGGAAAACTCCGTGTTGTCTAGACCACGGCCTTGCCCAACACAAGTTATAAATTCGGGCACCGCCGGGAATAGAACCCGAGACCCCAGGATTACAGCGTTCTAACCCCTAGACCTAGGGGCGAACAGAATCAGCTTAGAATAAGGTGGAAAGTGAATTATGCGCGGGTTATTGAGAGACTCAGATGCCCACTGAAACCTGAGGAGAATTATCGACTACCCTGGCCAAGAGATTCGGTCAGTCTCTTCCTGCGATCTGTTCTGCTTCGTGACAGCGTGGAAAATGTTCAATAATTAATGCAAAGAAGCTCTACGCTGCATTTGAATACAATCTGCAGTTACACATCGAGCTTTGGCTTATACAAGATTATCGACTTAATGCGGAAACCAATTAGCACATGAACCTAACCTAAAAATCGATTGTGAATGCCATTTAAGACACCGGATACTACGTCATGTCAGTTTCCGTACCGAGTTTAATTTCGTCTATGGACATTTCTTTTCAATTCCTTCTACGTTCTTTGCCCACAATTTATAAAATTAACGCTAAATGTTGAGATCATATGTCTGTGCCCTCGAGAAGCTCTTATTTGCTCTGCTGGTTAAAAAATTATCAAATCTTTATGGAAGCCAAATGTTTATTACCGTGTTGGCAGAGTCCAAAGGGTCCAGGCAACAGCCTCATTTCGATAAGATCCGTTTTAATATTATAATTGCGTCTCCGCTTAGGTCTCGCAAGTGATATTTTCCTTTCAGTTTTCTGAACTAAAATTTTGTACGCATTTCCAACCTTGCCAGTCTCGTCTTGTCCGCCGGGTCTGATTACCTTAATAAGAGCCTCTACTTGGTGAACAGTATTTATCACGGAGCTTCGAGTAACTAGTTGATGGACAGACGCGACCTCCCGGTTATTCGTTCGTATTATGTAATTTCATCAAATAACGCACAGGAAGTTTTATGAATCATGCCATTCCTGTGTCAGCACGTTTGGTCTACACGTAATTAATATTATAAGATAGTGCATTAGGTTTTAGTACGTATCTTGATGTCTATCGTCTGCA